CTTTGGAGACAGTCTTGAACATTAGTTCACCATCTTCCCAGGTCATGGTTTCCTGAATTAAGTTACCTTTCCTTTCCACCAGTACTTGCCTCTCAAGTACTGGCCTTTGCGTTGTGGGCAGCCGAACATGGGTTTAGTCACCAGAACAGACCACAGCTGGTCCAGCTGCAGTCAGGCACCCTCTCTTCAGCTGGGCACCCTCTTGGCAGTTGGCACAGCTACATGGCCCTCCTGTGTCCCAGGCAGCAGCTCACACTAACTGGCCTGCTGAGATGGAGCTGCCACCCTGCACCTTTCACCTGACCCTACTTTGCCTGTCCTCCCCCTCCCCCCTTGCCTTTCCCCTGCAGGGAAAGCTCACAGGGACCAAATACACTGCTGTGACCCTCCCACCATGCCCTCAGGACATGAAGGGTCCAGACCCAAGTACACTGCTGAGCCATACCGTCCTTTCCTTATGGAAGCACCGGGGTTTAGGGAGCGTCCTCTGTCTCTGGGAGAGCTACCCAGCTCCCGCCCCCATCTCCCAGGCGTGAAATACTCCCCAGAATATCCACACGTGATGTGGTCTCACTCCAGGTGTCCCTGGAGGAGGGGGAGGAGGGGGAAGGCTGATTTTTGATCTGTGCAAGACTTTCTCTTCCCCCTCAGGCCCCGGCCTCAGCATCAGAGGAGGGCACACCCGCACACCACAGCACCCAGAACCCTAATTAGCATTGGAGGCTCAGAAACCCAGGTGTGCAGGTATTCGGCCAGGGGTCTTCTGGTGGCTCCCAGTATCTTGTGACCCAAGAGGTCTCCACTCAGCCTAGCATGCTTGCCACAGCCGCTCTCCAAATCCCAGACCCACTGACATATGCCCACCATCCAGCTAGACAAGCTCTCAGGGCCACCAGTCCTGTGGTCACATGGCCTCCCCGACACTCAGTCTTCCAAAACCTCGATGAAATCTCTCCTTCTGGGGACCAGCAGGTGGCGTGGTGGTTAAGGCACTGGACACTCCCACATAGCCAACCATAGTTCAAGTCCCAGACCTGGTGGTTTGCTTTCTCACTTTCTTTCTCTCTCTATGTCTTTCTCCGGTCAAATTAAAATAAAATAAAATGAACAAATGAATGAATAAATAAATAAATAAAATAAATAATTATTTAAAAAAAATAAAATCTCTCCTTCCTGCCTTTGGGCCGTGAGAGTCACACCTCCGTAGCGGCCATTTGGGTCCCTTGGTCTTGGGCAGCCCCACCCTACAGAAAAGCCACGTCTCTCCAGAGGCTCCACTTGTGGAAAGAGTTTCTCCACCTCCAAGCCCATTCCCCAAGGCCAGCTCTGCTGTTGGCCGGCTCAGTCAGGGTCACCAGCTGAGGAACCAGACCTGACCCACTCCCACGTGGAATGTACACCTGGAGGTGGGGTTCCTCTTCTGGAAGCTGGTGGGCCCTGGCCTGGAAGGTAGGTGACCCAGGGCCTGGTCTCTGCCCAGTGCTCTTCAATGCTGGATCAAATGCCACCAGCAGTCACCTGAGCCTTGCAGGAGATTGAAGCCAGGAAGCTCCGAGTGCTACATTGAACTCAGACACAGGTTGTCTAAAGTCTCCTTCAAAGGTGTAGTTCAGACCACACTCACGTGAGAGCCCAGCGGGGCTCTGGGCATGCTCGACAGCCTCCACTTGTCCTTCCACACGGCCTGTGTTTATGAACGGCTCCTGACTGAGCCTGTTTCCGTCTGGGGCCTCCTTGCGGTTGGTGGTCCCTGACTTTGTGACAAGTGGGGAGAGCCGGAGCTGGGGAATGCATGGGCCATGCTGACCATATTGGCAGTGCACCTCGGCAGTGGGAAGGAAGGGGCTGCTTAGGCTCAGCTGGCCTTGATCCCCCTTGATGAGGTCCTCAGGCAGCCACTCAGCCAAATCCCTGAGCCTGCGTTGGCTGAGGGCCAGGCTCGAAAGTGGCTCTTCTGTGAGCTGGAATGTGTGTACTTCCCTGGACGTGGCAGCTGTCCCTGTTTCCACGGGGCTAGCCAGGCCTCAGAGTATGTGGCCAGGGTGGCTCGGTGTGAGAGCGCTGTTACAGGACAGCAGTGCTGGTCCCTGAGGGGTGAGGAAGGTGTGAGGAGATCTCTGGGGATGACGGGGCAGAGTACCCAAGGTGTGTTGTGGGGTGCCGAGGGGTGATGCCAGGAAGGCTGATAGATGGCAGCAGTATGAGGGGCCATCCTTGACCCTTGGCCTCAGCACCTGGCAGTGCCATTCTCAGAAAGTGCCCTCAGGTCTGCAGTCCTGGGAGCTTCTCACATGGAGGGTTTGGAGAGTGAGAGGAAGTGACCACTGATGTTGAGAGCTGGGGGCCTGGGGACCAAATGCCAATGGAAAGACAGATGTTTTTCAGCAGGACGTGTGGCATGACACTGTCCTTGATACAGGTACCACCTTGGGGGCAGTGTGGAGAGGAGCCCAGACGTGAAGGGCACACCCTACCTAACCCCATGGCCATGAGCCTGGGTTCATCCCACCGGACTCCGAGTCTGCAATGAGGTGGAGTCAGGGTCTCAGCCAGCAGCCGGGGCACTTCCCACTGGATGGACGCCTTCAGAAGAGTGTGATTAAGTTCTCCAGGGTGGAGTTTAAGGTACCGGTGGGCTGCCCCAGGTTGGGGGCAGCACCTCCAGCTCTGCTCTCAGGAGCCCACAAAGACAAGCTCTAGGTGCTTACTTCTGGCTGGCTGGGCCAAGAGGATGGACTTTTCATGCTCAAGGGTAGCAAGAGGAAGGCCATGGCATCAGATGGTACAGGGCCACTCCCCATGGCTACAGAGAAATCCCCTCCATTCAGAGCTACAGTGCCGGCCCCAGCTCTGAACAATGACGATTTTTCCATCTCTCTGTATGGTAGCTTTTCACGTGCTATTACCTTTCAAATAATAATGAAATCCAGCAGGAAAATGCAATGCAGATGGTACTGGCACTGGGGACCAAATTATTCAGCACATTAAATTATTCAGTTTGCACTGGAGTTTCTGGGCTGTGGCCACACACATGCTGTCAAAGCAGACCCCTGGTGGTCCCTCGCAGGAGCTCTGGCCCCCTCCACCCTCAGAGCTGTCTTGCCTGGTCTTGACCCTTTCCCTCCATGTACCACCATTGTCCACCTCCCCCATGTCTGCTCCACGAAGCACCTAGCCACGCTTGCATGAGGCTGGGGCATCAATGCCACCCAATGCGAAGTGCCTCACATACTTCTGGGGGTCAGCCAAGGAGCTGGCGGGGCAGCTGGGAGAGCCTGACCTCCCTGTAGCCTGGGGAGAGAGTAGCCCTGCTGCCAGTCCCTGGGCTTACCCCTCCGAGTGCCCCCTCCTACACTTGTATCCACTTGGCCCGGATTCAGGAGCCTTAGTAGGAGAAATAGGTAGTGCTGGAGGCTGCCGCCCTGTGTGTCCAGGATACCACGCGATCTGAGGACACCATTCCCCCACTGGGATGTTGCCCGGGAGGCCCACTTGGCTGAAGTGGAAGCCCAGTGTACATGGCTCTGGTGCCTTGTCCCTTCTCTGGCCTCCCCCAGTGCTGGCCTCCTAGACCAGCTCTTCCCTCCCTCACCCTTCTGCTATTGGCCTCCTGCCAGGGGGAAAGGAGCAGGGAGGGGGCAGATGCAATTTCAGGCTGAGCTCCTGGGGCAGCTGGAGGGTGAGGTCTAGGCAGCCGCAGACAGGAGCTGGAGAGTGGTTTCCCATGGGTGGGGTGAGAGGCAGCTTCCACCCAGGCCAAGCGGTGTCCACTCAGCCAGGAGGGGACAGTGACAAGTTAATGCAGTGGCCACCAGGAGTGGCCCTGGCTGGGCTGGAGCCATGTCCAGGCATTTTAAGATGTAAACAGCTCTAGGAGTCCCTGCATTACCCTGACCCCAGCAGAGCTGCCAGCCCCTCCCTGCAGAACTGCCTGCC